TTTAAGATGTGGAAGGAATGTTTTGTTACTTTAAAAAGAGCTTAAACTGAAAGTTAAGGAATTTTGAATAAGGGAATTTTTACCCTGACTCTGTACCTGGAAACGAGCAGTACCTCTAAGCAGTTATGTAATCTTTATAGAACCATGATGGCCTCCAACTGTCAAACCTATTAGGATAAGACGAGGGGTACCATACTTTAAAGAAGTCAGGCTGAGCCTAAAAGGATCACAAAAACAAAACAAAAAACCCAAACTCAGTGCCGTGGAATCGATTCTGACTCATAGCGACCCCTCCTTAGGTTTCCAAGGAGTTATTTCTATGGAACTAGATCGCCCAAAGTCAAGATACCACTTCCATAACCTCCAGTATATATGTGATAGAACAAAGTTTATTTGTCGGTGTGTGTGGATTTTTTCTGGACTCACTGCATATTTTAAATAAAATCACAATGTAAAGGCATACAACCTAATAGCTCAGAGCTTCCTTCTTCCAGGTGGCACCGTCGACTAATTTCTCCTAAATTCAGACTGGGGCAGCAGTGGGATGCTGTGTCATCTGGCTTCTGGCTTCACGATGACAAGACACCAGGAGAGTCGGCACAGACAGGCCACAAGATGGCGCAGCACCTCTGAACTTGTGCTTCGGCAACTCACAGGAAGACCACATGGGAGGTAGGATGCCTGGGACTCCAGAAGTCATCTAGTCAATTTGGACAACTGGCAAAATAACCTGCCATTTCAGAGTCTGTGCTATGTGTTATTAAAGCCAAAACAGTGTATTGAATTATTTTCTAAATCTTATTCCATTATGCCAGTTGGACCCTATGTGATTAGCAGTGATGAATTCTGTTACCTCAAACATCACAGTCATGAGAGTGAGATAGTAGGATCACACACAAAATATTTGAAGAAGAATTTATTTCTTAAATTTAAAGGATTAGACCTGATACGAGAGAATATTTACAATAACATTTTAGACTTATGTCAACATAAAAATGATAGTTGTGTGTTACATTTACTACATGCAATTCACTGCAAAGGTAAACATACATATAACACTCTAGCTTTCTACAGGAAGGTACGTTAGGTGGGGTAAGGCAGCAAGTGAACTCGGAAGCAGTGCACTGAATAGTAAATGGAGCCTTCCTTCTCCGAGGGGTGGTTGGTGGTTTTGAACCTCCAGCCTTCTGGTTAGCAGTCAAATGCTTTAGGCACTATGCCACCAGAGCTCCTGTAGCTACGGTAGAGAAAGGAAACACACCTAATGCAACCTCTGCACTGCAGCCCGTGAGTGACACACTCAGAGTATATGATTCCATACACATACACATTAAAATGAAAGCATTTTCAAATATCCACCTGTAAGATATCCCTTTGTTTCTGACACATCACATTGTGGTATTCATGTAACAGCATTTGAAACATGCAGTTATCACTCAGACAAAATTTCAGGTCAAGGGATCAGAGATCTGGAACATTGATCACCATCAGCCTTACACACATTTTCACCGTATTACCAACTTCAACAAAGAACTTGGAAATAAAGTTAAACTAACCAGTTTGAAGGAACTATTGACTGTGAAAAGCCATTAAAAATTTAGGAACAAATAATACTGGTAGTAGATATGGTGAAAAAATAGATTAACCCAGAAGCTAGTACATCTGACTGTGGAAAATTTTTTTTAAGTTTTTACACACATATCAATGGAATAGGTAGCACTTGACTGCTAACCAGAAGGCTGGTGGTTTAAACCCACCAGCCACTCCTCAGAAGGAAGATTGGGCAATCTGCAATGATACTGCCTCGGAAACCCAAGGAGGGGTCGCTATGAGTCAGGTCTGACTTGATGGCAAACAACAACAACAACAACAGTAACAAAACATTTCCAAGGCAACCCCGGTGGACTTCCCAGGGCCATCTTCCTGTTTATAAAGACTGTAAAGGATCAGCCCAAAGAAGAATCAGGCTGCAGGTTTACTAGTTTATAGCTTCTTAGAAACCTAGAACAATACTCCATTTTAGGCTAACCCTAAATATGCTGCCAATTTATGTCTCCGTTATTTCTCTTAATTTATATAGAAGTGCAAAAAAAAAAAAATTTTTTTTTTAAAACCACCTTACCTGGACAATAGAATAACGCAATAATACATCTTAACAATTCACTTGAAGTTTATTACTTTGACATTTTACTTAACAAAATAAACCTTTACTAAAACAGAAGAATTTGCAAAAATATATTATCATTGCAATTCAGGTTAGGTACAGTTTAAGAATTTGTTCATAAAAACCAGCTGAACAGGAAGAAATGAGAATGATGTAGAACACAGCAGAATGGTGAGAGCTCTCCTGCTTGATGCCAGCACAGGCTAGTAAACAGAACTCTTTTGAGAATTCCATGTAACTATTCTATTCTACATTTACCTCATAATTTTAACTGGTTAACTGTATGGGTAGAAAACAATCTCTTACAAATCTATTTGCCTGATTTCTATTTCTAAAGCTATTCCAGATGTCCTCCTTGAAATCTGGGCTTTACTAAGTAAAGGTTTTTATTTGACTGCTAACCAGAAGGCTGGCGATTCAAACTTACCAGCCACTCCATGCAAGGAAGGTTTGGCAATCTACTTCTGTAGAGATACCACCTCGGAAACCCAAGGGGGAGTCACTAAGAGTTGGATCTGACTCAACAGCAGCGAGTTTGGTTTTGCTCTTTTTGTTTTGTTTTGTTTCAGTGTTGTTAAAATCTTTAACTTCACAAGAAGAGCTACGGTTACTGTACGACATGTGATAAAACCTTTCATCAAGAAAGGGCAAATTTGAAACAACTGAATAGAGATGTGAATGCAGAGCATATAACTGATTTTGTTTTCCCTTCACTTCTACTCAAATCTTCAGTACAATTCATGTTTAAAACAAGATTAACAGTTTAGCTTTGAATGGGTAGCAAGTCTGCAGTTTTCCAGTTTTCTAGCAGCTGTGTTTTTCTGAGGGATAAGGCTGGCATACCAAGGACACCAGTAACTAACTGTCAGATTACAATAGCAACACGTGAACATACGCTGGGCTATTTCTCCCCCAATCCTACAAGGGGACAAGGACATCAGAAACAGTAAACTACTTTTATTCACAAAGCAGCTGTTTTCAGATGTGCTAGCAAAATTTGGGGATATTAAAGATTTAAAGAGTAATAAATCCACTAACTTATACGTAGATAGTTTTCACATAAATGAGACTTGTTCCTCTGCCTACGTAAAATACAATTTACATGCATCGAAACATGGATTATTCAAACACATGCTCTAGGAAAATAATTCTGTATTTAAAACAAGTTTCATGATTGATTTGCTCTACAGGGCAAAGATACATACTACATATTAGTGCTCAAATATATATATTCATTTCCTGAATGAGTGAGTCTTTGCACAGTAACCATGTTCCCATTAACAGGTCTAAAGTGCTCATGTGGCTGGCAGTCATCACTCACTGCACCATGTTCTATACAGGTTTCAACACGCAAATTTGCTTACAACAGCTCTTTCTTAAACAACCCTTTGTTTTCATTCCCTCAGGTCAGGATTTCACAAATAACTGCCCCCACCTCCAAATGGACACACCCACACTGCAGGGTTCTTCCCAATACTGCTACTGGTTATGAGAAAGATTATAGCTAACAGCGTGATTATAATAAACATGACTACTTATTTTGAAGAATAAAAAACTTAATAGACAAAAATTTCCTGCCAGACATAAATCTAGCCCTGTCCTGGACCAGCCTCTGACCTTAAATGGCCTAACACCATCACCTCGTAGTGCGAGTTTGGAGTTTGAGTCTCTGTCCCTGCTGGACCTCTCTGTGCCTAGTTCTCCTCATCTGCTTCTAATTCTGTCATTCATCCAATCTCAGGGTGGTTCTGACTGAAGTAGGAAACTCCATATATCAAAATACAGCATCTACTCTGTCTCACAAGACAGATTACACATGTGAAGGAACTCTGAAAGTATTAAGCATTATAGAAATGCAAGAACACAAAGGATAAAACAACTGAAGTCTAATGGGAACAAAATTCTGCGAGAGTAAAAAGCAGAATTTCAGCTCTAAATGCATACCAGTTTTTCAGTCTTTTATTCTATAATATCCTCTACAAAACATTTAAGTTTGCCTGGCTTCTGTAATTTAAATGTAATAGAAAAACAAAATCTCTTTCCTCCGAATTCATTTGGTAGTAGTAGTCTATCAACTACTGGTGATTAATGACAATTTTTTTCTGTGCTTATTCAGCCCCTATCTTTAGTTGCTGCCGTGTTAAGTGTGGCGGGTAAAGGATGGCATGAATGCATAAGTGGGTTTAGTGCTAAACTATGGAGGGCTGGCTCACTTCTCTCCTGAAAAACAGAATTAGCGGGAAGAAACTTAAAATATTCCTAAATCACAGCATAGAGCTAAAGTTCCACTCGACCTCTGAACTGTAGATACCAAAATACTATCTCTTCATTAAGTGCCTCTAAAGTAAGGATATTTGCTAACTATGAGATTTACTTTTTTTAGGCTGTGTTTCATTTGTTTGTTGTGATGAGTAATGCCTAAGTCCTCTAACTTATTTTGCTTCAGACATCTACCGGAGAAAAGAAGGAATCTTAGACCTTGTCCTACTTAACATAAAAACAAATACACTGACTTAAAACATATTTTAAGCTGAAGATACATAGTATAAAGTGCTCTGAAAACCAAATTCTCTGAAGTTTTAACAGGAAGGGTCAGTAATTTTGTAAATATACATGTATAGAAACATACTAAAATTTAATCCTTAGAAGTGGCAAATTTTTAAAATGCTTAAAATAGTTTGTGGCATTCACTTTTAGCATTAGCTGGATACTCTGCTGAGTAAAAAAAAGGATTCTGAAAGATATTGTCAATAATAGTAAATTTTTGAAAAAGTAGAGATTACTGATTATGTAATTTAAAAAAGAAATATTTTTCATTCTGCCTAGTCTTTCCTTTTTGTTTGCTCAGACTACAAAAGCTAGGCTGACAGTTAAATGACCTGGTCAGCTGAAGGACAGGGTTCTCAACTTTGCTCCTCAAATATTTTCCATCAAACTCTCCCTAAGTCACTTTGATAATCATCTTCACCAAAATGCTTATGGCTGGGACCACTAAGTATTTTGCTGCTTATTACTTAAATACCCTCTGTTTTCTGTGTGGCAAAACAAAAAATAAAATGTTTTACTTTATAAATTCCAGGCAAGCTTTCTGTTTTTCTTCAGTGCAAATATCCTGAAACAGCACAAAGTCATTCAGCTATTCCGGGGATGAAGTCAGTTTATGTAGTGCTTAAAGTAATCCTGGATACCCTGGAATGGAAACAACCCATGGGAAAGTATTTCTGTCCTTAAAGGCAAATGACCATCTTCAACGAGTGAAGATGATTTTTATCTGAAATGACAGATAACATATTTTTAGCTTTGTCTTACAGGTACTGTTGAAGTAGGACAGGAGCTAGTCTCTTACTGAGGCACGTAACCACCTTGTCTCACAGTCTGTGGTAAGTAACTCTTAGGCATTCCTTCATCCATCCCAACTGTTTCAAATATCTCAACTTCTCCCTTAGTGCCTAGACCAAAAACATCTGCTGTAGAAACTTCCTGAAACATTTTCATTTGCCCAGATCCACAGGACTGTGAAATATGATCTGAAATCTGCTGCTGCTTAAGTCTGACAAAATCTTCTTCACTGACTGATGAAACTTGGTTTGACCTTTCAAAATGTGGAATATCTTGACTGGTTTCATGTTGACTGCAGTTCTGTTTGAAATACTGTTGCCTGGGCAGTATGCCCTCACCACTGTCAACATTCTCTACTAACTGTAGGTCTTCTGGCCGCTCCTCTGAATCTAACAAGGGCTGGGTGGACTCAGATCTTGAGAAGACTTGAACCGATGGAACCTGGTGTCTGTAACCACTATGCACCACAGTAGAATACTGGACAGTGCTCGAAGTGTTTTGTCCAGATTCATTTTCATCACTACTAGAAATGCTTGGCCTAGAAGATGACATGCATGAGGACCCTCCAATACCACTGCTGTGTCCCTCTGTACTAATTTTTTCCTTCTTAAATAGGTCCAGTGATTTCAGATCCTCTGGCAAAGGCTTCTTGACATTTGCTTCTATTTCCACAACACTTACATCAGTAAAATTGCCATCTGGATACATTTGATCTTTTGAATTAAAATTGTGCTAAGAAAGAGAGAAAAAAGATTATTACTTATGGCATATGTTTATGCCATTTTAGAAACACTTACGAGATACATCTGGCAATTATTAATTAAAGCCACAGAGGTAACGCATCTCTGAAACTTCTCATTAACTTTCAATGGTGCAGAGATAACCTATACTATGTCACTATATGTGTGTCGTCTACCTGAATTGCAGACATTATGAAATCCATCTAACAAATAAGAATCAGGATGTTACTTCCTAAGAAATTATGCATCATCTTTTTTTTTTTTTAAGGTTTTGCAATGTTCCCTCCCTTCCCCTCTCCTCCCACTCATATCATCTTTTGATAAATTAATGTCTAACTTCATAAATAATAGAAAATAATTATACAGTATAGTATTAACTGGATAGAAAAAGTATAAATACATTAAGAATCATCAAACTTGAATGACTTGGATTTGGTAGAATATAAAAGTATATATTTTAACCTATTCTTGCAATTCAAGGATCATTTTGTTATCATTTCCCCATTTAACATGTGTTTTAAGTTAAAAGAATTTAGTGTGAGTTTCCTGAAATCATTAACTATCAGTATTGTAATGGTAGACCATTAAATTTGGTTTTAAAAATTCAATCCAAAATACTTCCTCATCATCACAAAACAGATTTACCACTTAAAGTTTACAATTTTCAAGTTCAACTAAATATTTTTAATGTTTACGGAATAGAATCAGGACGATCAGAATCTATATGCTATGATGATAAACCTCTAGAATATATAGGTATTCTTTTAAATTTTGATTGAAATTCTCATTTACATAGTATTCTGTTTTCATTTACTTTTCAATTCAGACTGATAATCTTTTGGTTGAACCATACACATGTACCTTAATATGCTTGGATATTATAAATAACTCAGAACCAGTTTTTCTTACCCTGGGAGGTGTGTGAGGTGACCACTGGGCAATATGACTCTTTGAAGGATCTGGAACATTAGGCCAGATATGTTTTTTAATCCTGGAGAGAAAAGAAATATGGCATGTGCAAAACTGCATGCAGAATCTGTTCACCTAAGAATCTTAAGAATCAAATCAACTAATCAAATAAAATAAAACATAAAACCAAAAAACCCAAAATCAAACAAAAACTTATTTTTCTGGTAATCAACAGAAAAATACTGTTATAAATGCATAAAGATCTTACTTAACCCACTCATAAAGAAAACCTGTTAACAAGGAAGGCTAAAGCTAATAATCAGCATTCAATTCAAAAGAAATTTCTGAAATCAAATCCTGTAAGAAAAACTACTGAACCTTAGCCAGGCCACCAAATGTTGTATTTATACCCTCATTCAACAAAAACAAATACAAAATGTTTAATTTGAAGTGAAAAGAATCTAGATAGTAAATTAAATAGATTTTAATATTGATACCAAACAAAATGTAATGAATTTTATTTTTTACAAGGAAAAAAGGCAAACATTAGTAAGCATATGCAAGTTATTCAGGATATTTATATCATCAAAAACGTATTTAAAGTTCTACTGTTAAATGGGGTCACCGTGAGTAGGAACTGACTGGATGGCCCAACAACTTTATGCATTTGTCAAAACCCACAGGACAGTACAACACAAAGAATGAACCCTAATGGAAACTACGGACATTAGTTAGTAACGTATAAATATTGGTTAATCAGTTGTAAGAAATGTAACGTAAGAATGCAAGCTGGTAGGAAGAGGAGAAACAGTGTGCAGGGGAAGAAGGCATAAACAGGAACTTGTTGTAGTCTCGGCACAATTTTTCTGTAAAACCTAACACTGCTCTAGAAAACAAAGTATATTAAAAAACAAAACAAAACACCGAAACCTTATTTAATTTCTTTATTTTAACATCATTCCTAGACCAAACTTAGAGGTCTTACGTGTACCGTAAGTGAATCATCTTGAGAATGCTAAGTACAAATGTAAAGTTAAATAAAATATAAAAATGAGTAGGGAGAACTTGTGCTTCTGGTAATGACAGAGCAAGTTCCTATCAGCTTGACTGTCCTGACGAAATAACTATGAAATCTAGACATACTATAAAAAACAAAGGTGACAATCTAGATAAAATGGATGAATTCCTTGAAAGACATAAATTACCAAAACACACTGAAGAAGAAAAAGAAAACATTGATAGCCCTAATTTATAAAGGAATTTTTAATTAAAAATCTTCCCACAAAGAAAATTCTGGGCTGCAGTGGTTTTGCTGATAAATTATATAAAACATTTAAACAAGAAATAATACTAAATTACACAAATTATTCCACAAAATAGAGGAAGCAACACATCCCAATTCATTTTATGAGGTCAATATTATCCTGATTCGAAAGTCAGAAAAAGATATGACCCAAAAAGGACAGATTAATATCACTCATTAACACAGACACAAAAATCTTTAACAAAATATGAATAAAATTAATCCAGCAATATGCCAGGAATGTGAGGACAGTTTAACATCTGGAGATCAATGAAAATTCACTATATTCATAGAATAAAGGAGGAAAAAAATATGATTATGTCAATAGATGCTGAAAAAGTATCTGACAAAAAATTCACCACCCATTCATGAGAAAAACTCAACAAAACAGAAATGTAAGTTCTCAGTCTAGCTAACACCTATGGCTAGTGTCCTATGTAACAGTGAAAGAATGAATACTTTTTTCCTAAAATCAGAAACAAGGCAAAGATGTCAGCTTTTATCACTTCTGTCATACATTGTACTGGAAGTCCTAGTCAGTGCAAAAAGACAAGAAAAGCATAAAAATTTGAACTAAACACAAAACAGCTAAAAGCATAAAAACTGGAACAACCATTTTTACTTGCAGGCAGCATAATCACGTATATAGAAAATCCTAAAGAATCCAAAAAAGCTACTAGGACTAGTTAGTGAATTTAGTAAGATCTCAGGATACAAAATCAACAGGTTAGTAAGATCAATTGGATTGTTGTATACTAACAATGAAAAAATTTGAAAATAAAATTAAGCCAAAAGCTCCATTTATTATATAGCATTGAAAAATACTTAGGAGTAAGTTTAACAAAAGATGTGCAAGGCTAGGCCACTGAAACTACAAACAGTATATAAGGAAATTAAAGAAAACCTAAATAAGATAAAATCCAAAACTCTAGCAGGTTTTCTTTATAAAGAAATTGACAAACTGACATTAAAATTTTTACGAAAAGGCAAAATTCCTAGGCAAAATAACTTTGAAAAAGAAAAAAATTGGAGGGCTTCTATTATCTGATATCAAAACTTACTACAGAGCTACAGTAACCAAGACAGTGTGGTATTGGTATAAAAACAGATGTATAGGTCAATGGAATAGAATTGAGAGTCCAGAAATACAAACTTACATAGATAATTGGTTTTTGACAAAAGTTATCAAGGGGTGGGGGGAAGGGGGAGACAATCTTTTCAAGTGATGCTAGATATCTACGGGGAAAAATGAAACGTTTAGTCAAACTGTGTAGCAAAAACTCAAAATGCATCACAGGCATAAAAGATGAAACAAACTTCTAGCAAAAAGAAAATACAGGAGGAAATCTCTTTGATGGTAAGTTAGGCAAAGATTTTTTAAACAGGACACATAATATAGGAAGCACAAAAAAGAAAAATAAAAAAATTTCACCAAAATTAATTTTTTTCCCTAAAGTCTCCATTTTTTTTTTTTAAAGTAAGCTACAAGTGTATTTGTATGTTCTGTAAGAATTCCCAGATATATAGTAGAGTTGACAGGGGACAAGGTTGTAGGTACTTCTTGGCCACAGCCAGCTACCCAGAGAGAATAAGTAGTTGGACCTGTGGGCTTGGGACCATAGTCGCAGGGGACATCAAGCTCAATTGGCATAACATGCTATACGAAAACATTGTTCTGCATCCTACTTAGGCGAGTAGTGAATGGGATCTTAAAAGCTTGCAAGTGGCTATCTAGATCCAACTATGGGTTTATCCTCGTCCAGAGCAAAGAAGAATAGAGAAAACCAAAGACGCATGGAAAGAGTTAGTCCAAGTGACTGGTACACCATGCAATCCTCAGCCTGTATGACTGTGAGACCAGAAGAACTAGATGGTGCCCAGCTACCACTGTCAACCACTCAGAGGGGAATCTATGTAGAAGATCCTGGATAGAATGGGAGAACAAGGTGAAACAAAACTCAGAATCATATGGGGAGGTAAAAAAAAAAAAAAAAAAGGACCAAGTTTGCTGGTCTGATAGAGCCTGGTGGGACCACTGAGACTATGGCCCCTACCTGCCCTTCAGGTCTGGAATTGAACCCACTCCTGTGGCTTCCAGACAAACAAACAATAGGCATATGAACTGAACATTTACATTAGGTAGACAGACTCCTCGGAGAGATCAATCATGGGAGAAGAGAAGGGCTGTGTACACACAGGGAGACAGCTCGGGGGGGCAGGAGTACATGGGAGGGAAGGACACATGGAAGAGGTAACCATGGTGAGGAAGTAGAAAGGGAGCTGTTGCACTGTGGGAAACTGCAGTCGATGTCATAAGACAAAGTGTACGTGAACTGCTATATGGAAAGTGAATTTGCTCTGTAAACTCACCCAAATCACAATAAAAATTAAAAAAAATAAAAGTAAGCTACAGACTGGGAGAAAAATTTGAAAATCGTGGTATTTGACAAAGATTTTATAACCAGAACATATAAAGAATGATACTTACAGCTCAATATAATAAGACAAACAACCCAATTTAAAAACTGGCAAAAGATTTCAATAATAGATCCTTCACAAAAGCAGATTAAACAGTATATGAAAAGATCCCATTACTAATCATCCAGGAAATGGAAATGAAAACCACCATGAGGCAGCATGAAACATCCATTCTTTTTAGAATGGCTCAAGTAAAAAGCCCTAACAATACCAACTATGGGTGACCTGGAAAACCTGGAATTCACAAGCGTTTTGCTGGTGGGAATATGAAATTATATAGCCATTCTGATACAGTATGGTAGTACTTTATAAACAAGCACTTAATACATAGGAGGAAAAATCTCACTCCTAGGTATCTACCAGAGATAAATGAAAACATATGATCAAACTAAGATTTATATATTAATGTGCATAGCAGCATTATTCATAATAACCAAAATTTAGAGACAAGATAAACTTCTATCAACAGACAGATAAAAATTTTTCATATATCTGTGAAATACTATTCAACAATAAAAAGGAGGAAATAGTATATACGACAATACGGATGTCCAAAAGTATTATGTTAAGTGAAAGATATTTAATTCCATTTATATGAAATAATAAAAAAAAGAAAAACTACAGTTACAGAAGGCAGATTAGTGATTGTCTGGAGCCAGGGGTTGGGTGAAAGAGAGACTAAACTACAAACAGCATGGGGAAACTTTGAGAGTGATGTAAATGTTCTATATGATTGTTAATGGTATATACATTTGTGTACAATTATCAAAATTTATGAAATTATACCTCAATAAAACTTAAAAAGTAGAAAAATATGAATAAGAGTACTTACAGGTCTCGCTTATTGAAACAGAATAACACTCCCAAAAGAGTTGTTAATAAGAATGCTAAGCAAACAGGCACAACTATGGCTTCAATTTCTCCTTGAGCTAAAAAAAACCAGAAAGGAGTGAGATGAAAAATAATTGTTGATACATACACTAAAAAGAAGCAATATAACTTCCCTACCAGATTAGAAAAGATGAAATGCCATCTTTTTTTTTCTCTTCCTCCTCTCTCTTCTTGGAAAATCTTACCCTAGCCTTACATAGTCTCTGTCCACATAGTAAGCATAAAATAAATGTTGGTTAGGAGAAAAAAAATTAATTCCACTTACCTGAGAGATTACCTACCTGGTAATTTAGAGGTTCCAAACCTAACAATTTACTACATGTATGATGTGCACTCAGTGGAATCTTAGCAAAAGCTTATCTTTAAATTCTAACACTTACTAATTGAGAAACTATCTGAGAACAAATGAGGACTGGGGAGAATTGGAAAAACTGTAAAACAATCTTTATTTTAACTATTTAATTAGTTAATTAATTTTATTTTGTTGAGAGGAAGGCCCTCAATGAAATGGATTGGCACAGTGGCTGCAATGATGGGCTGAGTGAGGTATGTCAAGGACTGTGAGGCTGGTGCAGTGTTTTGTTCTGTGGTACATAGGGTTGCTATGAGTTGGAGACGACTCGACGGTACCTAACAACAACCTTTATTTTGTTGTGACTGCTGAGAAGATAAACAGCAAAACATACAACAATTCAACAGTTATGTGTATGATTTAGTAACATGGATAACACTGAGTTATGCAACCATTCTCATACTCTTTTTCTGAGCAGTTCCTCCTGCATTAACATAAACTCATTCCCCCTTAAGGTTCATACCTATCTAATCTTTCAAGTGGGAGCTCTAGTGGCCTAGTGCCTAAGGCATTTGACTGCTAACCAGAAGGCTGGTGGTTCGAACCCACCAGCCACTCCCTGGAAGGAAGGTTGGGCAATCTACTTCTGTAGTAATACTGCCTCAGAAACCCAAGGAGGGGTCGCTATGAGTTGGATCCGACTTCATGGCTGAGAGTAATCTTTCAAGTTGCTCTTGTCAGTTTGATGCCCTAAAGTTAGATCTTGAAAGAGTACAATGGTCAAGGCAGACATTCTTTACTAGTTAAACTAAACTATGGTTTGGTTTCAGATTGCAGGGATATTTTTGGTTTAAGGTTCAAAGATTATCTCAGGGTAACAGTTTCAGGGGTTCATCTACCTCCATGGCTTCAGAAGATCTGGAGTCCATGAATTTGCAGTTCTATTATGCATCTCCCCCTTATGATTAGGAGTGTTGTATAGAATCTTTGGTTCAAAACATTCAGTAATGGTTGCTGGGCACCATCAGTTCTGGTCTCCCAGCAAAGGAAACCATTAGCCACATTCCATGTCCTCCTCCTGTTCCTATTCTCCTTCCTCTGTTGCTCCAGGAGAATAGAGACCAACTGCCTAGTGTGCATAATTTAAAATAAAAGATGAGAAAAAGAACAAATTTCCTTATTCCTTACCAAACTTTGGAGTAGTAAAAGTGAAACCGGGACCATACTTTCCACCTTCATCTGTGTATGCTGCCATTCGTACCATGTATAATGTGTCACTAGTCAAAGAGGACAATGTATATTCTGTGTGGGAAGAATCCACATTCACAGCTGGAAGAAATCAGTAAGCTGGTTTTATTCAACCATTCAATGTTTTGCTTTATCTGGACTATATTTGGCATTATAAAAGTATTAAAGAGAAATTCAAATATTTTACCAGAAAACAACTTTCATAACCTTAATATAATGTTCTTTTATAAGCACAAAACAATGTTTTCTTAATAGGACTATGAAAGCAACCATAAGGCATAATCTCAGGCAACACGTTTCTGAGGATAACATACTACACTAAAAGGCCTAACAAAAAAAGGTAAGGGTTCAACTTGTTCTTTAAAGTTTAAAAAAAAAAAAAAAATCTGAGTCCTAATAACTGATACGGTTTTATTACCGATTTCATTTCCAAAGGCAGTTTTATAAAGTATAGTATAATTTCTGATAAATCCATTTTGATCATCAACAGGAAGTTTGTCCCATTCTAAAACAGCTTCATTCTTCCCCACTTTTTTTGTCCGAACAGTAGGTCCTTTGGAAGGTGCTGTAACAGAATAAATGTATTTGCTAACTGAAAATCATTAGAATTTAGTAAATCATTAGAATTTGATAAAACTTATCAAAACTCATCATAAAATTATTTGAACATAATGAGACATATTTTCATGTAAAACTGATAATGTCTTTGCTGATACAAAACTCAACGTTCTTCAAACAAAGTGTTTGGACTTACCAGCTTGTTTCAGGTAGGCCCTTACAGATTCATGGCTTCCTGGTCCATCAGGATATACTGGAGTAACTGTTATCAAGTAACATTTACTCTCCTTTATGTCCCCTAAAGTGAAAATAGTAGATTAAGCATTTTTTCTAAAATGAAAAGTCATATTCATTCTACTATTGATTTTCATATTATGATTGTATGACTATTTAATTTCCCTTTCTTCTAAAACTTCAACTTTTCAATGTAAACACTGCCTTTTACATAATGGGTTCAAACTTAGCAGAGTAAAACTGTATATAAAACTAACAGGTTACTTTTATTGCCAATACATCACATAAAAGAAAACTATATACTAATAATAGGAGCTTGGGTAGCGTAGTGCCTAAGGCACTTGACTGCTGACAAGAAGACTGGCGGTTCAAACCCACTGGCCACTCTTCGGGAGGAAGGTTGGGCAATCTACTTCTGTAGTGATACTGCCTGGGAAATCCAAGGAGGGGTCACTATCAGTCAGGGCCAACTTGACGGCACATGACAACAACAATTAGGATTTATACTTAATCAGGTTATAAAACACTGATCTCAAATTATCCTGGGCCTCATAATTTAACAATTTTTGTAATATCTTAGCTAATTATCAGATAATAGCTTAATAAGCAAGATGCCACTAACGAGACCCAGGAAAAGCACAAATTTTCCTGATTTGTAAGATGACTAGGAGGAAAAAAAAAAAAAAGAATTACTGCTATTTCCCAGTAGAAAGGGGGGAAGGGAATAGCACTAGAAAGCTATGACTTTTCTGTCAGTTTGTCCTACTACGATGACTTAATGAGTTGCTATGATGCTGGAAGCTATGCCACCAGTATTTCAAAGACAATGGACAGTTTCAGTGGAGCTTCCAGACTAAAACAGACTAGAAGGACTGGTGATCTATTTCTAAAAATATTATGGGTAACAGTGGGTCACTGTCTGATACAGTGCTAGAAGATGAACCCTTCAGGTTGGGAGGCACTCGAAACATGATTTTCCTCAAAGGAGAGTTGAACTTAATGAGGTGGATGGAGGAAGGTTTTTAGGACCTTCTTTTGCTGATGTGGCATGACAAAATGAGAGCAGCTGCAAACATCCATCAGTATTGCAAAGTGGAAGGTACAAAGTATGAATCAAGGAAAATTATAAGTTGTTAAGAAAGAAAAGGAACAGTTGAAGACTCATATCCTGGGCATTGTTGTTGTTGTTAGGTGCCGTCGAGTCGTTTCCTACTCATAGCGACTTCATGCACAGCAGAACGAAACACTGCCCGATCCCGCCCCAGCTCCATGATCTCTGCTATACTTGAGCCCATCATCACAGCCACTGTGTCAATCCATCTCGTTGAAGGCTTCTCCCTCTTTCGTTGACCCTCCACCCTACCAAGCATGACATCCTTCTCCAAGGAATAGTCCCTTCTGACTACATGACCAAAATAAGTGAGACGAAGTCTGGCCATTTTCGCTTCCAAGGAGCATTTCGGGTGCACTTCCTCCAGGACAGATCTGTTAGTTCTTTAACAGTCCATGGTACTTTCAGCATTCTTCCCCAGCACCACAACTCAAAAGCATCAATTCTTCTTCGGTCTTCCTTATTCATTGTCCAGCTCTCACATGCATATGAGGCAATTGGAAGTATCATGGCTTCTGTCAGGCACACCTGAGTCCTGCAGG